CGTCTGAGGACGCTGAACTAGGAATGACAGAAATAATGGTGAAGTAAAACTAATAAATTGATTTGAGCAGTGACACGGCTTGGTCATACTAAGGAAAACTTGCCTCTCGGGGTTACAAAGACTAAAGAACATCTAAAAATATACCACAATTCTTCTCTTTTCGTGAGATAGAGTGGAGAGCTTGATTGTGAAATGCTGAGACTGAAGCTCACTCTCTAGCCGTATAATTAACTTGTACAAGCTGCAGCCCAAATGCCCTTCTGTGCGAGTACGTGCTCCAAGCCGAGCTTAAAGCTCGGTCTCTCTGCCCCCGTATTTTGTCTTTGGCCTTGTTGTTCAGAAGGTGCCAATTACTGACAAGTCTGGCAACGGTTTTGCTGAGGAGTGCATCTATGCGCCGGCCATTGAACTTGGCTCTCTCCCCAAAGCAAATCTACGCGAGGTGTCCAAACCCGAGCGGAGACCCAGGGCTCCCCCCGCACCCCGCGCCCGCCTGCTGCTCTGCAGGGCTGCTGCAGGTCGGGGCCGTGCTTGGACCGACTTCGCTGCTCTGCCACGAGCCCCCTCAGCCTGCTCTGCACTGCACCCCCCGCCTCCGCAGGAGCTTGCTCCCTTCAAAAAGTATGTATTCTAAACTTGAATTCTAGTAAAAAAAGCAAACATGAACATTTTATAGTTAAGCTGGTATCTGGGAAATGCCATTTCGATACCAAAATTGCCATAATTTTGCCTTTTGTTTAAGTAATGTTTATGTGACATTTCCCCAGTGCAGTCCTGCCCGTTACTCGGAAACAGCAAGCTATGCAGTGCCTCCTCTTTGTATGTTATAAAACTTGCATGTTGGTTTACTACTGCTTGAATAATCTTCTGAGGTGTTTCATACTCCTCTCTCTGATGGCTTCCCCACTCAGAAACGAAGACACTTAGAAGTGGTGCCTTACGGACCCATTGCTCCTCGCCCTTCAGCCCCTCTCCAGGGCAGCTGAAAGGGAAATGGCAGCAGCCACAGCTTGGGTGTTTTCTGCCCTCTGATTCACGCCATGATCATGCCGTGATCTTCGCACCATGCTGTTGTCTTCAGGATGGATATACAATACCCATAAGCTTTTCAACAGGTCCTCTTTCTCCCCCATTCCAGCTTGGTGATCTAAATCATGCTTCAGCTTACTGCTACATATATCATGCTTTAGCTTACTGCTATAAGGTCTCCTGAAAGGGTGTTTTATTTACTCTTTTATCTAGCTTTAAATTGCAATTTTTTTTTAAAACAGCTTAGTATTAGTGCCACATTAAGATCATGTTTAGACTTGAATCCTTGTTCCAATGAACTATATAAAGGCCATAATAAAAACGCCTGCACAACACTCTCATATACACACCCATCTACATATGCTCGGCTTTCCAGCACACTAATGGCTACTGCAACAACGCTCAGCTAACACCCAGCTGCACTCAAATCTGTGCTGATCACGCCGCAACCACAACATCTCAGCGAGAGACGGAGCCGATACTGCTGCCTCCTCATGCCCTGCACTGTCCTGCATTTCTCCGAGGACGCCGGCAGCGGGGCCGGGATGCTGGCCCCACAGGACACCCTGTTCCCATTGCCACCTCGCAGCCCAGTGCAAAACTATGCCCAGCGACTCCGAGCGCCTGGGCCTGAAAGCATCCTTTTTCCCTTCTTTTTAAGCGCGAGGCGCCATCCCACAAAAGAAGGCACTCCTGCCTTCAAAAGGTTTCTGTTCACGCATCGTGGCCTGCCCTGAATCGGCTGCATTCATCGGCTCGCCCTCTGTCTCAGGCTGCTCCCTCTCTGGCTGCAGATTCGGCAAAACACTGAGCAAGAGCCAGATATAAATCTCTCCCGCTCAAAGGAAATATTTAGCAGCAAAATTAGTAGAAGACAAAAGACTTCTCTGTTACTCACCCAGTCCTCGCACTCAGGGGTGGCTCTATCTAACAAGCAGGCAACTGAGCGCTCCTGCCTGGACCGGCTGTGCGAGGGGGACAGGGAGCGGGGCTGCCCCACGCCTGGGAACCCACTGCTGCGCCCAAATGGCCTCGAGCACCGGCTGGGAAATGCAGAGCCTTTTCCATCAAGTCCACTGCTTGGTAAGGGTGAGAGGGCTGCTTAGGGCAGCGAGGGGAAAAAAAAAATCCCAATGTTTCCTGTTAAGCCTGCAAAAGGAAAGCTCAAGACAAGTTAACATAATTTTGTGTACGTATTAGAAGCCGAGGAACATTAATCCACAGCTTATCGGTGTTCTGCTTTCATTTCCTGCTGTGTGAGCTCTTCTCCGAGTCTGAAATTTAAGATATAGGATGCGAATCAACTTTGTTCCTCTTTTTATTGCAACTTTGATTGTGTAATTCAGTAATTCTCAAGGAAGTTGGGAAGGCCACACCTGCAGGTGAATTCACCAAGATGACTGCACTCTGGCTCTCCAAAGCAGAAACCTAACAGGTTTCTCTTGGAAAATATTTATCTGAGAGAGAGATATAGTAACTTCATAAGTAACAACGCAAAAAAGACAGCCAAGCCATTCTAATAGAACTCAGAAAACTCCTTTTGGGAAGGAAGAGGTGCAGGACAGGGCGTGCACCAGCATCTGCCCGACAGAGACACTGGAACCAGTAACGCTCTGACTGGGGCTTTGGCCAAGGAGGATGGCTCCCTGCTCCCAGCCATCAGACCGGCTGCTTCACCAGCTCAGCTGAATTTGCTGCTGACCCGGAGTCGGAGCAGTGAGGTGGCTGCAGAAGCTCCCGACAGTGTTACCCAGGAGCCGAACCGGAGGCTGCCAGGACAGGGCACCCCTTGGGCATGCGCCCGCCTGCTGGGCACCCCAGCTGCCCATGCAGCAAGTGCTCGGGCTGGTTTGGACCCACGCATTGCAGAAACGTCTGCGTGTTTTGTTAATCCAGCAGAGCCAAGTAAAGAACCACGTGACCTGCAGGAAGCAAAAGAGATGCAATGCATGCCTCCTTATGGCACTGCTTGAGTTCTTGCCCAAATCCCACCGCTCCTGCGCTGATTTGGTATCTTGCAAAGTAAAAGACTACAAAGTATTACCCACACAACTGAAAATTTATCTTTTACAATGCCATTAGTTTAGTTCTGTGTGACCAGTAATTCAGTTTTTGATATTTGTTCATCTTCTATCTAAAGCAAAAGCTTCAGCGTTTCATTTAATTTGTTTTCACATTCTCACTTTTTGGTGCAATTATTTCCTTGAAACCTACATCAGTAATGCTCAAAATTCTTCAAAAATACTGCCGTTTGAATTTTAGTCACGTACCAAAAGAAATCACACAAAAATATTTTCTTGTTTATCTCTACAGTTTCTGAAACACTGCATCTTGTGGACTTGGATACAAAGGTACTGGAGAAACCAAAACGTTGTGAAGAGAGATGACCTCGAGTAGCCACCGTGATCTGTAACAGTCTATGTACACGTTATATACATGTGACTGTTTGAGAGCCTGTATTCACGAATGTGTACAGTCTACATACTGCACAGAGTTCATTTGTCTGTGGTTTTTTTTTTTTTAATCTTTTTTTTTAAAAACTACTGTCAGAAACAAGGAGAACAACCTTGTGGTGGCACAGAAAACGTGTGGTTACTGGATTTAGTCTTACCCTTCTAGTGCCACTGCTCATTAACCATGAACTGATTTTGCAAATCTGTCATTCAACACAATAATTTCTACATTTTTTTTCTTATTGCATTTGTACATGTAACAAATTGGTACAAATGTTTACAAAAAAATGTAAAGTTCATTGATACAATGCCTTTCATGACGGCCATAACCAGTTACTAGCCAGCTCTGTAGTTTTTTAGAGACATTTTTAGCTGAACTTGGAAAAATAGGAAATGTATTGTAGCTTAAAAGAAATGTACATAATATACAATATATATATATTTATACACATGTGTATGTCTACATACACATATATCAATATAACATTTAAAGTAATGTTTAGTTTTGATCTGTTCTCTGAGTGCTGGGACCACCTGGCAAATAAATCTAGAAACGGAATTTGTCCACAGTTAAATAACCATTTCCACAACTTAGAAAAATATACTTTTACTAAATAAGGTTTAAATTAACTGATTGATGGATATAGCATGGAGGATAACGGTTTCCAGACTCTGCTGTATTAAATCTGAGAGAACCCAAGCCACTACTAACCGGTAACGAACGCTGCCCCGCAGCCAAACACCAGACGAGCACAGAGATGCAAGCTGCTGCCGCAGCCATCACGTGTGGCACCCAAACCCCCTCTGGTTCGGTCACCTCTTGTGTGGGCTTCATTTCCACCCAACACAAGTCACCCACCCGACCTCATGCTCTGTTATTTTAAGGCCCACTTCAACCACAACCACACAGCGCCTGACGCCTTCCCCAAGCGTGGCACTTGCTGCCTGATGTGAGCACTGGCATATGATCAAGCTTCCAAATTAACGACTTGAAGGACCATCAGTACTTGAGCTTCACCATATGGATTTTGATCTACTGCATAGGTAAATACATCATGGTAAAACATACATATATGTGTGCGTGTTTGTGTATATATACATACATATGTAAGTGTATATATACACATATACACACGTGTGTGTGAGTGTGAGTACATCTCTACATAAAAAATTTCATGGAGCTATGTGTAGCAATGCGATATACCACGATATCCTGCATACATTATCCGAGTTGGTTTTTTGTTTTTTTTTTTTTTAATATATAGGCACCAGAAATAAGTATATAGAGCAAATCAACCTTTAAAAATTAAAGTTAAATCAGTGGACAAGAACTTTGGTAAAGCTTGTCAATATTTATTTTTTTTTTTATTAAAATACAGTCAAAGTCCATCAGTTGCCATCACCCTCTTCACAAGAGGAAAGTGCATGTGTTTTTTTTCTAAAGAAACTTGTAAGTAAGGTGGGGTTTAACGATTCAAGAAAATTCTGAATTAAATGTTTACATTTTTCAAAAGATCACTATCTTTCTGATGGAATGAAAGCTAAATAGAGTTCTTGTCCCGTGTGTACTTTATTTATCGTATGCATATATATATATATATATATGTATGTCTCTGTTTATGTACCCGTGTGTGCATATACACATCCACACACTTTTAACAGGAGAGAGGAACCTGTTTTTCTCCACTTTGTATGTGGAGACTTACACGTTCCTCCCTGTTTTGTACCCTGTGCAGTATAAGCTCTAGTGATGAGGCCAAACAAAAAGACATAGTTCACCATAGTATATTAGTTTATGTAGCAAAGTAATTTTCAAGCAAGTAAAATAAAGCTCTGTATTCCAAAGTTCTTTTCCTTAACATTTCCCATAAAGAAAAGGAAGGAAAAGGAAAGAGGGGAGGGAGTAGGATTATGGCAGTAGCATCGAGCCAGTGGCACGTGTGCGTGTGCGAGCGTGCACGCACACACACGCGCGCACACAGAGAGCAGGGCTTTGGTTGACAAATGCAGATTGTCCAGAGAAGGTGGATGCATAAGTAAGGAAGACTCTACAGTGATGCAATTGTATCTTTTATGTCTGCATGGAGTGAGAAAACAAATTCAATTGGGGGGAAAAAAAAAAGCAAAGACCTCTTTTTAGGTCCCTCATTCAGTGAGAGCATACTCAGTATGCTAGAGAATTTATCTGAAACCTTTTAAATCAAGGCCTCTTTATTACAAAAATAAAAATGAACAAACAAAAAAGTATGAGAGACGACAAGATGCTGAAGTGTCACTCCAATCGTCCCTGCAGAGAACAATTGCATCCCATTTATTATTCATTCTCTTCTCTCATTTCTACGATGTCTGTCATTTCCTCTGTGTGAGGCATGTCGGTCATTGCGGAGTCTTCACCTTCTGTAGCTGCTTCATTCTCATTCCGCTTCTTTTTCTAGATTGAAACAAGCATTTGGAAACCTATCAGTGTGTTGTGCATGAACACAGTCCTTCAAACATTGGACACTGCATGCGAGTGGAGAGGTGCGAATAATTTTTTTTTTTTTAGTATGTTATTAAGAGGTAGAATATTTGCGCCATATTCATGGCTTGTCGCTAATAAGTTTTCTTAACTTAGAAGGTTTCCACAGCCTTCCTGGGGCTCAGCTTTCTCCTTTCTAACATAAATGCAATAATAGAGGTATTTCTTATGCTAAGCAACATCCAAAACAGCCTTCAGCACAACTGGAGGGAAGAGAGCATCTGGAATCTTTTATATCACAGACTTCTTATTAAAAAAAAAAAAGAAAAGCAAACAAAATATGAGGGAAGATAAGCTGCTCTAGGGAGGGAGACAGAGGTGGCAACCTAATTTCTCAAATGTCAAACTTCAGGAATTTTACAAGATGTGAGCATTCTGGCTTTTCTTGATATTGTTGATGTGCTGTGAGCCCCCACCCCATCAAGGCCAAGTAATATTAGAATATTTTTGGCTAGCAGAAGCAGGAGGGCATTCAAGAGTCCTATGATTCATCCAGGATGTCCTGGATTAGTAAAGCTAAGAAGCATTCAGCCCCACTACAAAACAAGTTGAAGCATCTGTTCCTTATTATCCATTTCTCAGCAGGCTGACTAGTTTTACAGAAAGCACTTGTACAGCTGACAAAAAATCCCCCCCAGGTATTACTGATTCAGCTGAGTTGGGCATATCAGAGTTTCAGAATTTTAGAGGGGTCTACACAACACTTGATTTGCAGCTCTCATACGCTGCCCACTTATTGCCACCGTAGGTGAACACAAGTTGGTGTATGCAGCTACCGGTTGGCTCTGCCACTGTCACGTTGGCTGTTGAGACGATGCTGTCAGCTACATACTAGTTCTGCAAGGGAATAAATTAGGTTGGCACAGTTGTTATTATTACTACTACCTGCACTCATCGCTGCAAAAAATTAAGCACCATGTCCCTGGCCAGAAACGCTCTACGAGCTACTCCTGTAACAAACAAGCGATGAGGAGGTGAGTCCAAACAGATAGATGTTGTGAAACCACAGGCCAAGAACAGCCATTTCAGTGTCTGCTGGTTTACTCTTTAGTGCTCAAGAAAAACATGACTGACAAATCGTGACAGAGATCAAGGTCATCTATTTTCTTATGAACCTTGTGCACTTTGGTCTACTGCCATGGCCTGCACTGTTAAGACAGATCAAAACTGTTTTTAGTTTGTTCCGACATAAGGCTTTTAGATATTCCATATTCCGTATTTTTTTGCTGAAAATAGAAGTGGTGGGTATCTTTGCTTGGCCTTTAGTAAGAAGTCTAATTAAAAAAAAAAAAAAAGTAAATGCATAGATCCTACCACACAGTACTTCTGCACCACGGAATGATGTGTGGTCCATGCCATTTCTGCTTGGAGTTGGACCTGGTGCCTACACAGCGCCTTGAACACATAACTGGAAGGGCACAACACACAGGTACTGCGATATACCCAGTCACCTAGCAAATATTTATCCTGTGTTTGACTTCATTTAGTGGAATATTCTTGGAAATCCATGTACCACTACTACTCTGTACATGCAGGACTGTAGTGTGTGAAATACGTAAAAGTATGCCTATGAGAAAGCCTCGCCTGTTTAAGTATTTGTAAGCTCTTATTCTCTACTGCTGCAGGAGTATATTTTGTTTTAAGCCATTCCTTCAGATGGAAAAAAAGATAAGCAACTGAACTTTTTGTCCATTTTCAGCCGAGCTGGTTTTATAAAGAAATAAAAGTATACACAAATACACACACACAGATCTACATACACAGATATACACGCACATATAAAAGCTTGGATGAGTAGTTCCTATGTCTACATAAAGAAGCTATGCTGTACTGCAGTAGCAGATCTGCAGTGCAAAGCAGGTGGTGGTAAGGACATGGTATCCATGATCCACATGTTTTGAGGAACAAGAGGTTTACTTCAGACCAGCGTGTCTGGAGGGCACCTTTTATTTCAACCCAAAGAATTCCCAAGTTGCATACTCTTGAGAGCGCATGGGGAAGCAAACCCAATTCAGTAAGTGGGGATGCTGGGGAATTACATTTCAAAAGTGTACTCTTAATCTGAACTAAAATCCACTGTACTCATCAACTGCTTCCACCAGATCCCGCAGAACCAAATTCTTACCTGTTTCCGATAGACATAACAGGCTGCTATTGCAACCATGGTGGATTCTCCTACAAAACCAGCGAGAAGGGATCCTACTCCAAGAGTGGCTCCATGAACTCTGTGAGCGGCATAAAAAGAAAGTAGTCGTGGTTGTGTGAGCATGCATGACTCATAATTACACTTCCACTGCTATATAGAATTTATCTGTTGCTATTGAAGTATTTCCTTCAAAGATATAATACACTGGCAAAAAGAATAACTGGTATTTTAAAATACTTTCTGGGGGTTTTATGGCTTCACTGTTTAAAAGAAACACATTCTGAATCAAATTATGGACTAAGAATTTAAAGCCTTGTACAGAGTGCTGTAGAACAGATTATTTAACTTACAAACAAGGTATCTTCCATTAGCTTTCTCAACAGTGCATTTAATAGAATGAAAATAAATTCCCCGTAGGATACATGATGTTTGCCTACTTTTTCAAAAGGGAAGTCACTATCATGCCCACCTAGAGCAAAGTCACACTCGTGAATTTGTAAATGTTTCTTTTCCAGATTTTGACACTATTTAGGCTTCATATTATGGTTAGTATTTGGGGAGAATGTGCTGAGCTACCCAAATTCAGCTACTATTTGACAGGAAACAGGAATGAAGAGGAAAGCAAACCCATCAGCTCTGTGGAGAGGAGAATGATTTACCCCAAGTAAGGCAGCACAATGAGACTGGTGATGAGGACGATAATCCGCAGCACTGAGCTGGGTGCCAACACAAACGTCTTCTTCAGAGTCATCAGCCAACCAGTCAAGTGCGCTCTGACCGTCACTGTTCATAAACAGGGGAAGGGGAGAGGATGGTAAGGGAGGGAAGTGAGAGTAGTAAAAACATATCAGTCATTTCATATGAAGCTTTTTCAGGCAGAGAGAACTGTTCAGAAACAACCATGGTAAAACTTGTTTCTGGTAACTTTGCACACTGGGAAGCCCTACTAGAAATAAGGTAGATCTTGGTTCCAAATCTCTTGTTTTGAAAAACCAAAGCGCTGGTTACAGACAGCAAGCCTTGCTGAACGCTGTTCTCTTACAACCAATTAGATGGTCCGTTCTCTTTTCTTCATTAGAAGAATACCCCAACCCTGAACAGAAATCACACCAAGGCAAATTTTCTCTCTAGCTCCTTCGTGGCACATGGTGTAACAGCTCGTCACAAAAAAAATGGTATCTACATGTACCTATTCTTCTATTTAGGTATTACGTTTATTACAAAACTGTCTTGTCATATAGGCAGAAAACACTACATGATATAGCATTTGATTAGAGAAGTTAGACATTTTTTGAGGGGAAACATTTTGACTACTGCTGTCAAGCTTGCTGCTTTTGAATACAGGCATTAACTTTTATTCTATGTTCTTTATGCTGTGATGGTATCTGAAAGTGCCACCGAGTCTGGCAGCAGAAGGGGAGGCTAATGGAGGCGATGTTACTGTGCAGCTGGTCCTAGATGCTATTCCAAGCGGTTAATTTGTCTTCTCATGCATGTATTGCTACTGCTGCTCTTGTGTGTTCTTGGTCAGCTACAATAGACAGAATTCAGACTTTTGACAGTCAGAAATCTGCCTAATGACCGACTGTTCTTACTGCAACATTTGCATCTTGACTAGTGATGTAAATAGTCCTGGTCTACACCAACTTCAACAAAAAACATGTTACTTCTCCTAGACATGCGTTTAGCCACTCTTGTAGGTACAGCCACGCCAGCCTCTATGACCACAGCTCAAAGTTGGTTTGGTTTCGAGGTTACAGAGTTTCTATTTTTTCGTTTTTTACCTGGAACTGGAAAGAAGGAGAAGATGCGCAAAGGAACAACACACAGCTCTGCAAAAGCGAAGTCTACTCCAATTATGTCAACTAAAATCTTCTCTGACACATTTGGCGTCCAAAACATCACAAAACAGAGCTAGAAAGAACAAAATTAAGAAATTTTTGTATCTCAGAAGGGAAGCACCACAAAAGATAGGCCTTTCTGGTCTAAAACCTGTTTACTGATGGGTATTTTCGGTATTAAATGAAGGAAGAAGATGGATACAAAGTAGTAAAAATGCATTTGCTTTTCTACAGTGTTCAGGGATCTGTAGCATGCAACAATTAACGTTTTAATCATCACTACCACAGGCATACTTTATGACTAACTTTTAATCACTTTATTTAACCATTCTCTTATGCTTCTGCCTCTTTGCATATAGACTGGTGAAAGAAAAAAACAAAACTTACATGTTAAGCAATAGTCCTGACTTAACAGTTTATGAAGCAGTTA